TCGTTTTAATAAACAATTTGTGTATTTCACACCAAAAAGTCAGATACCGATGATCGCAATAGCAGCGGTGAATACCCGTCCAAAGCAATGCCGTCAGCTGACAATGTTACGGTGATCGTAGCGTTGTACTCATAAGGTATATTGCAATGAAAAATCGCCGAACTGCCATTGTAGAATTATTTTTTAATTATTGATTTATTAATTTCAACATATTTCGATATCTTGCCGACTTTATATATTTAACCAAAAAATGTTTTCCCCGACGTTTATATGAACCGACAGTGACATGGGCACTAAAACTTATACACAACGATGAACCAGTTACATCCATGGATAACAGTATATTCACTGACTGGCTATAACACAAGTTTTTCAATTATTTTTTCCTTTTTATGATGTTCCATTTCAAACTTTATTTGACTTGATACAAAAACAAAAAATACAATGCAGTAAAATGATATAAAATTTATCAGATATAAAAATATCTTGTCTTTAATTAATTGTAGATTGACAATATTTGTTGGGAAAAACTGATTATTATGCAGATAAAAATTATGCAAATTAGATGCATTGTTATGCAAATTGGCCGTGATGCTTGACATGAAGTCTGGGGAGAACACTGGTTATGAAAGGAACCAAGAATACCGTATTTGTCTTCAATTAGGCGCCACTTTGTTACACTTTCATGTCATGGTGGCGCTTATTTGTGGTTAAATTTGAGCAACTTTGTTTCAAATGGCGCTTATTTCAAGCACTTCAAGTTCTAGTACCGGTAACTGTGTTACAAGCCATTGTTTTTGCTCCATTCTGGTGATGGATTATTGACAATATTTTACATTACAGTCTGACGCTTAGTCACTGTAGCCTTTATTTTAAATACTGAGTAAATGACCCGTTTTCAGACAGTTTAGAAAGTTATACAAAAAATATCATTCTTTAGAAAACATTCACAGTTTGCCGTACAATCAACAGAAAAATAAAACAAACACAAATTCAACGCTTAGTAGTCAATGATCACGGTAGCAAAATCCGGTCATGCTGCATTCCACGGTTACGGTACAATTATTACTCAGTAGTAGTTATAATAACATACAAAAAATAAAATGCAAGTAAAATTGAACTTAATTTCATCGTAAGCGAATGATTCTGGTCGCATGTAAACGCTCGGCGCGATTCGATGTCTGCCATGCTTCCTGTCTAGGACTTGACCTGGAACGCGTTTTTTGACCTGATAGGTCAAGTCGTTAATTAACCAATCAAAATGCTGGATGATGCCAACGTGATCAAATTACCATAGCTCATTTAAATAATGTACAGTGTTCTCCCCAGAAAAATGTATCAGAGTGGCGGCTAATTTGCATATAATTTACATATCATTAGCATTTGTCTGAAGATAAAGAAAA